ATGATGATCTAAATATGTCGTCATAGCCACATGAGACATCATTTTTGATTTTTTACATGATCATGACTCATTTTAACCATAAGACCAAAATGATCATGAACAATCATCGCCAAAGATTACGATGATCATAAATCATAATGAGGATCGTGAGGTACTATCAGCACATCACCGGAACACCCCCGATTTCTGTGTACAGTTTTTTATTTCCTATTTTGAGCTATTTCATTTATGATCATGTGATCATGGAGATCACAAACCTTAATCATGTGGATCGGAGACGATATCTTCTCATGATTTTTTTTAAACAACACGAAAAAAGTTGAATATTACCATTGAAACATCACAAATCGCTAAGATTTTCCTTCTCGAGTTGATCGATCATGATCATGGCTCATCATAATATGTAATAACTTAATAGGCTGATCGTAAATTTATTTTTCAATTCTAACATGATCATTAGTCATTTTAATAATGAGATCAAAATGATCGTGATCAATCGACCAAGAATTTAATAGGATGATCATAGATCATAATGAGGATCGTGGGGTATTACAGCCTTCGGGTGTGAAGTTTTTTTTTTCAATTTTGAGCTATTTCATTCATGATCATGTCTCATCATAATCATAAATTATCATGGCCATATGACATTATTTTTAATTTTTAACGAAGATCATGATTCGTATTAATAATGAGACCGTATTGATCATAATCGTGACCGACGGATTTTTTGATCGCCACAACCCGTTGCATCCCTTATTTCGTTTCTTTCCCTTGTGAATTTGAGGTAAATCGCTTCAGTCCTGATCATGTCTCATCATGATCATGCGATCATAATGATCATAAATAATCATTGTTTTAAAAAACAAAATTTTTTCACACCTTGCTAGAAATTCGTTTTCCTAACAAAAAGACTATATCGGATATCATGATTTTTATATATGACGTCATGATCATTAATCATAGTATCATAGAACGTGTTGTTTTATCGTGCTTTTCCATTCCATATGTGGAAATACCACATAGACAAATCATGCGCCGTTATGATCATGAACAATTTTACACGATCATGACGGTGTGAAAACATGATCGACGAAAAATAAAATCGTTATATTTTCGTATAATTTTTTTTCATGATTGTAATCATTACCCACTATGTTGTTCAAACTGATTATGGACCATCATGATTTGTCGTTATTTGTCAGACAGCCCTCCCCTCATGGTAATCTTTTTTTTTTGTTGCAACCTTCCTACGCTAAAACGCCTTGGGAATCAAAAGAAAGGTACTGAAGACTTTATTCGAGTTCGTAACAGGAGCGTAACCTCCACCAACTAGAATTCGTATATTCTCGAGAGGGTTTTACTTCCAGGCGTTCAATCGCGAAGCAAGTCGTGAATGTATCATTCACATTACCTAAAAAGTTTCGTTTTTGTTCTATAGCATTGACGTAACCTCCCTATATTTTTTAGCGTGAGAAATACTTACGTCAACATCACCTTACCCGGCATAACCTTCAAACCGTGGGGGAAATTGAATGCAGGGAAGCTTGACTAACCTGCCCACCGAGTAGCTAAAGCGCCGTAACCTTTCGCGTTTTTCGTATTTCACAATTTACGGCCCTGCTACATAAAAACAACCTTCACGTAACTTTCTCTCTCTTCCCTGCCCCACTTACCTTACAAAATGTCCTTTGGGGGTAACAATTTCTTAACCTTCGCGTTGTTGAATTTACGATCAAAGAGGCCGTAACGAGGCAACATAACCTGAACTTTTCCGTAGGCTGCTTCGTAAGATTATTAAGGGAAAAAAATTGTTACGAAGAAAATAACCTTGTATAACAATATCATAACCTTTAGTCTCTATATCGGGCTTATTTTGCGATGGCAACACTATAACCTACAGCCGGCTTTATTAAGCAAAACAAAAGAAGGATTTTACACACTTTATACGACCTTAATGTTTTGAGGGAGCGCATTTTTCATTGCAGCTATCAAATTGCGATGAAAGACGCGACTGAAACAGTCATACAACCGCCGCATGTTTCGTTTCCGCCGTATAACAGCGTCGTAACCTCTCTATATTTTATAGGAGAAACTTTTCCCAATGAACATTATAACATAACCTTACCCGGTATAACTTTCAAGCCGCGGGGGAAACTGTAGTAACATTACCTACCCCCGAAGGTTACAGTCGTGTGACCTATTCACATAATGACAATATCATTACTTTATGAACCCTCGTTTCTTAATATTTTCACAGTTTCTTATTCACTGTTAATTCTTTATACACCTCATGAAAGGTTATAGTCGTCGATACTTGTAATATAACAGCGTAATAACCTACTTGAGGTCGCTGTCCTTCAAACTAGCCAAGTTCTTTGCGTTAATTTTAAATGCAACTTTAACATTGAGCCGTATAACCGTGATATAACCTCCTGCAGAACCTTTAAATGGCATTATTAAACCAAATAAAAGTGTAAGCTGCCCATACATTTTCTTAGTGTTCTAGCCTATTACCTTTAGCCAAAAATCTGTTAACAGTATTGAAACTAATTTCTTGGCATTTTCGTATACACCGTCGAAAATAGTTAATCTCTTTGTAATCCGCACTGCATCTTTACACGCTATAACCTTGACTCACCTGATATAGTGTAACCATAACCTAACCTCCTTCAACATTTATTAACATGCTCATTATTTTTCTTAATGTTGTGGGATATTATTTTTCTTTAGCCAATAAGCAAACAGGTTTGAAACCGTCCACTTTTTAGCATTTTAGTTTACCTTGATAAACTTTATAACCGAATAACCACAATATAACCTCATTCTGCATTTTTGGTGTCGCAGTGGCTTATTTAAACCAACGAAAAGAGTAACCTAACAATACATTTCCGTATTTTACTTGACTATTTTGTAGCCTGTCAACAGATTTCAAACCTGTCATATTTAGATAACACGTAACGCCGAACGATGACTAACTAACCTTACAGTCTATAACCACTGACGTAACCTCGACTTTTTTTACGACGTAACAATGGTTTGTTTAAATCGAATATAAACGTCACCAAGTCTTTTTGCTTTCGTATTTGTGGGCTATCGTGGTAATAATCTGTTAACAGGTTAGAAACCTTCCACTTTTGGGATTTTAGTTTTATTTAGATAACAGCCTATAAAATCTCCCTAACTAGTCGTCGATCCAAACCCTAACTAGTATAACCATGACGTAACCTCACGTCGTCCACTGACTTTTTTCCAAATTCTTTTCTTATAGTTCCTCTACAGAAACCAGTTAACCAGCTTGAAACCTCCCACTTTCATATTTTTCTGTGATGTGTTTTCGAAAACGTTACAGTGTATATAGAACGATATCGATCTGTGGGACTTGGGGTGCCTTTCTTTAAAAGTAGACAACGGTTTTTTCCCAATCGATATCTTCAGTTTAAAGCCGTCTGTCGGATCGATAAGGGCCATTTTGAAATTTTCCCCCATTGTTTCTAAACGTCTTTTTGTAGGTAAGTACGCGATAAGAGAGTTGCACTTTTTTAAATCCATTTTTCATTCTCTCTCTTTCTTTCTCTCTCTCTCTCTGCCTTTGAAAACGATTGAAAGCTGGAAATTGCACTTTTCGATGCTTTGTTGCTTATCAAACGCCGCGAAAGCCTGAGGTTCGCCGGCAAGGAACTTTTATTATTACAAAAAAAATTAAATAAATTTTTTAAATGTGAAATTCCACATCTCATTTCTAGATTTACTATCAATTTTAAAAAAGCAGTTTGCCCACGCTGTCCCAGAACTGACTGAGTCGGGCCAAATCCAGTTGTATTTTTTGTTCGCTCAAACAACAATTGAAAAAGAAAATTCACCTCAAACTAAAATAAAGTAAGCTAAGCACCCTGGTAGATCACGCAGAAAAAGGAGGTTGATTCCCTTCGGCGCAATTTTAAACTGATACATCAGCATCAGGAACGACCTCCTGGTGAATCAGATACTTCTGATATCTTGATAGACTAATAATTCAAAAACTTCAAGGTGTTAAAAATCTAAAATAATCCCTGACCTCCTGGGACATCAGAAACGACCTTCTGTTTATCAAGCCGTTTCTGATGCCCTGTTACACTCCTGATACAAAATTTCAAGCTCCTAACAAATCTAGGAAGAATTCTGACCTCCTGGCACATCAGAAACGACCTCCTGCTTATCAAGGAGCTTTCAGATGCCTTGTTAGCTCCTGATACAAAATTTCAGGCTTCTAACAAACCAGGAAGAATTCTGACCTCCTGGCACATCAGAAACGACCTTCTGTTTTTTCGAGGAGCTTCAGATGCCCTGTCAGAAACTTCAGGCTCCAAACAAATCTAGGAGTATCTTCAGATGCCCTGTCAGACTCTTGATATAAAACTTCAGGCTCCAAACAAATCTAGGAGTAAATGACCTCCTGGCACACATCAGAAATGTCCTCCTGTTATTTCGAGGAGCTTTCAGATGCCCTGTCAGACTCCTGATATAAAATTTCAGGCTCCTAACAAATCTAAGAAGACTTCTGACCTCCTGGCACATCGGAAACTACCTCCTGTTTAGCAAGGTGTTTTCAGATGCCCTGCAAATCTAGGAAAAGTACTGACTTCCTGGCACATCAGAAGCGACGTCCTGTTTATCAAGGAGTTTTCAGATGCCCTGTTGGGCTCCTGATTTCTACCCATTATTAACTTATACTGAAGAAGCCCTTGATGCGTGGGAATTTCATTGTGGGTCGCGGTCAGCTAGAAACCGTGGGTAGGAAGGCGAAACCAGCCGGCACTTTCTGTCCACGTCGGTTGAAAGTGATTTCTTTTTTTTCTTCTTGTTTTTCGTTTTAAAAGGTAACGAGGAATGCCGATAGCCGCGCCTTTGTGATAAACAAGCCCCACGTAGACCTACTTTCTCCTCGTGGATGGTTAATAAACAAAAATAAACAAATCATACTCTTTTGACAAAAATGAAGTTTAATATTTATCTAGTTTTACCTTTGGCTTTTTTTCGAAATTAAATCCGATTGGGAGTCGGTTGGACGTGGTCCGACGATCGCGTAACGGCCCACTTTCACAGACACAGGCACACACGATCCCGGACACTTGTTCTCATCCACCTGCCCCGACGGCGTTCTGCGGGCCACTGGATGCCACTCCGACGTAGCGGGGCGTGGCGGACCCCCCGCCATAAGACGCACAGGTGGCAGAAGGACGAAGGACGAGTCGTAAGGGAAAGGCGTACGAAAAAGTCTTCTTCCTGGTATGTTTTGGACCTAGACAGGCGATGATGTCGGTCGTCACACATTCAGCAACGTACTCTTCTTTTCTATTTAATGGCAAAATTAAAAAAGTCAATTGTAGATTTTTTCTTCGCACAGCCACCCAGTTTGACTTAGAATCAGCCTTTAAAAAAAATGTTTGACGACAGATGGGCAAAACTGTTGGTCGTCACACATTCATAACAATATTGACAGTCCAAGATTTATTGATTTTTTTAATAGACTGTCATTCAGTTAGACTTAGAATCAGCCGTTGGAAATTACAAAAAAATGTGTGACATATGGCGATTAATGTTGGTCGTCACACATTGTTTACAATTGACAATTGAAAAAAAGAAGATTTTTTTATATACGGCCACCCAGTTTGGCTTAGAGGGTTAAAAGATGTGTGACGACAGAGGGGCAATAGTGTTGGTCGTCACACATTTTTGACAATTGAGTCTATAGATTTTTTAAACACTGGCACCCTGTTTGACTTAGAATCAATCAGCCGTTAAAAATGACAAAAAAAATGACAGACGGCCAATAATGTTGGTCGTCACACATTATCGACAAAATTGGAAAGAAATTTTTTTTTTTATGCACTGCCATCCAATTAATTTTCAACTAATAAGCTCTTAAAAATATAAAAAAAAGTGTGACTACAGGCGGGCAATGTTCGTCATCACACATTATTAACAATATTGAAAAAAATCTTTTTTATACACTGGCACCCATTTTAATAATACTCTTTTCAAAATATTAAAAAGTGTGACCACAGGCGAGCAATGTTGGTTGTCACACATTCAAGTCAATATTGAAAAAAGTCTCGTTTTAAGAAATTTAAATTTCAGCCATTCAGTTTGATTTAGAACAAGCGGTTAAATATAAAAAAAAAACCACGATGAGTGACGACTTACATGGGCCATAAGTTGGTCATCACACATTTTTATACAGTGCCATCCAGTATCACTTAGAATCAGCTGGTAAAAAATGTGTGACGACAGATGGGCAATCGTGTTGATAGTCACACTGTTGACAAAATTGAAAAAGTCAATTTTATATAATTTTGTTTTTATAGGCTGCCACTCAGTTTAACATAGGATAAGCCGTGAAAAAAAATGTGACAACAGATGCGCAATAATGTTGGTCGTCACACGTTCACAGCAATATTGACAGTCCTAGATTTATTGATTTTTTGATAGACACGTTCAGTTTGACTAAGAATCAGCTGTTAAACAATGTGTGGCGACAGATAAGAAATACAATATTGACAAAGTCCTAGATTTATTGATTTTTTTATTTATACTCAGTTTGACTTAATGACCTAATCAACAGTTTAAAAAAACAAAAAAGTGACGACAGACGGCCAATAATGTCGGTCGTCACACATCATTGAGAAAGTTGGAAAGAACGAAAATAGATTTTTTTGCCACTCAGTTTGACTTGAGTCAGTTGTTAAAAAAATGAAAAAAACAATACAGGCCTTGGTTCACACATTCATGACAACAATTGTCTCGTTTTAAGAAATTTAAAAAAAATTGCCAGCCAGTCGGCCTAGAATAAGAGATTGGTTATACATAAGAAATCCAATAATGTGTGACGACTTGCCATAGGTTGGTCGTCACACGTCATGGCGAAATTTTGTATTAATTAACCGATCTGGTTTATGAGTTGTTAGAATACGGCACCCAATTAAAAAATATCCATGACGACCTAGACAGAAGGTGTAGGTCGTCACAGATTGACCAATGGACAGTTTCTTTTCTATTTAATGATTGTATTATTTCAACGTAAAAAGCTCCTGGCTAATACAAATTTCATAGGCCAATGAATGGCTTTGGTGGTCGTCACAGAATCGCAAACTAGAAAATGTCAATTATTTAATAGAATTTTTTGTTTCGACTGCCAAGCATTATTCTATTTGTATGTTACTATTAGTATTCATTTTACTCATTATTAAAATTTTACAATAGGATCAGGTCCTTGGGGTGGAAAGTGTGACGACCTAGACGGAGGATAGTGCCGGTCGTCACACGTTTACAGTACAGTCTACCACTTTCGTTGATATCCTTTGGTGTTCCAACATTTTTTTAAATGCATCAAAATTTTAATTAAAGTATAAGACGCCTAATCGTCAAAAATGAATTGGAAGAATGGCTCCGCTGCCATTGAGTCGTCACATTTTTATGGAATTTTTTTTTTTAATGGACAGCTAAGTCGGTTACAAATAGGTAAGTGGAAATGACAACCTGTAAATAAAACCAATAAAATGTGTGACTAACTAAAAAGGTAACGTTTTCGGTGGTCACACATTAAGACTAAAAGACAACTTTCAAACCCTTGGCATATCTTCAAGAAGTTTTCATCTTGCTCTCGAATAAATTGATGTTCATCAAAGATGACTAGTGCAACAGTATTTAAATGTGCGATGACCTTGACTGTAGAGAATTGGTCGTCACACATTTTCGGTTCATTTTTCAGGGTTGCAAATTTATTTTTTAAACTATTGTATTATACTCTCACCGCTTTCTCCGGCGTGTCGGTCGTGATACATTTATGGATGGTTCCAACATTTTTTAAATCATCAAATTTATTAAAGCTTAAGAAGTCCCTTCAAAACGTATTCGTACAAATAAAATGTTTGACGACAGACTGGCAATAGTGTTGGTCGTCACATATTGTTGACAAGTCAATATTATAAAATTTTATTTTATGGACTGCGAGAGTAGTTTGACATAGAATAAGCTGTTTAAAATTACAAAAAAGTGTGAACAGACTGGTAATAATGTTGGTCGTCACACATTGTTGACATAATTGAAAGTCACTGGCACTCAGTTTGACTTAGAATTAATCAGCCGTTAAAAATGACAAAAAAACGTCACTCATTATAGACAAGTTAGAACAAAAAAAAAAGAAATTTTTTTATACACTGCCATCCAATTAAACTTATAAAGCTGTTAAAAATAAAAAGTGTGACCACAGGCGGGCAATGTTGGTCGTCACACATTCTTAACAATATTGAAAAAAGTCCTGTTTTAAAAAATTTAAATGACAGCCAGCCAATTTGGCCTAGAATAAGCCGTTAAATATGAAAAAGAAACCACACAATGTGTGACGACTTAAACGGCCATACGTTGGTCGCCACACATTCATGAGAAATTAGTCTCCTATTTTATACACTGCTACCCAGTTTGACTTAGGAATGTTAAAAAACGTGACGATACATGGGAAATACTAATTGGTTGTCACCTATTCAAGATATGTAAAATGTAAATTTATAGATTTTTTTTAAATAGACTACCCTGTTTTTCTTAGAATCAATCAACTGTTAAAAATGACAAAAAAAAGTGAGAGACGGCCAATAATGTTGGACGTCACCCATTATAGACAAGTGTTTCAACGTCACCCATTATAGACAAGTGTTTCACGAATGGCAAAATAGTGTTGGTCGTCACACATTCATAACAACGAAGTCTTTTTATTTAAGAAATTTTAAAAAAATTTCCCGCCAATTTGATCTAGGATAAGCCGTTAAATATGAATAAGAAACCACACAATGTGTGACGACTTAAACGGGCCATACGTTGGTCGCCACACATTCATGAGAAATTAGTCTCCTATTTTATACACTGATACCCAGTTTGACTTAGGAATGTTAAAAAACGTGACAATACATGGGAAATACTAATTGGTTGTCACCTATTCAAGATATGTAAAATGTAAATTTATAGATTTTTTTTAAATAGACTGTCACTCAATTTGACTTATAATCAGCCGTTAATAATCACACAAAAAATGTGTGAGACGGCGAATAATGTTGGTCGTCACACATTGATGACAATTGATAAAAAATATATATTTTTTTTATAAATTGACACCCAGCTTGGCGTAGAGAGTCAGCTGTTATAAAATGACAAAAATGTGTGACGATGGTAAAATAGTGTTGGTCGTCACACATTGTTGACATAATTGAAAAAGTCACTAGCACCCTGTTTGACTTAGAATCAATCAACCGTTAAAAATGAAAAAAAAAGTGACGACAGACGGCCATTAATGTTGGACGTCACCCATTATGGACAAGTGTTTCAACGTCACCCATTAACAAGTGTTTCACGATGGCAAAATAGTGTTGGTCGTCACACATTGTTGACATAATTGAAAAAGTCACTAGCACTCTGTTTGACTTAGAATCAATCAACCGTTAAAAATGAAAAAAAAGTGACGACAGACGGCCAATAATGTTGGACGTCACCCATTATAGACAAGTGTTTCAACGTCACCCATTATAGACAAGTAATAGTGTTGGTCGTCACACATTCATAACAACGAAGTCGTTTTAAGAAATTTTAAAAAAATTTCCCGCCAATTTGATCTAAAATAAGCAGTTAAATATGGATAAGAAACCCCACAATGTGTGACGACTGACGGAATGTTGGTCGTCACACATCATGGCAAAATTCTATTATATGGAATTTTTTTAATAACTGTTACCTGATTTATGAACAAGTTGTGGAATAAGAAAAAAATGCTAAAAATATGTATGACGACCTGTATAATACCACTGAAAAGAAAATTTCTTCGTTATACATTCAACAAGAACAAACTGGAAAATGAGATCGTAATATTTAACAATGTAAATATGTATCATGTATAATTACAATTACCTTATAATAACCCAACCTATTAATAACCTTATACTAACGGTCAATAGAGCTAGTCGTCACACATTGTTGTCAAAATTGAGTTCATTTTTATAGAATGCCAACGTAGTTCAACCTAGAATAAGCTGTTAAAAAAAATGTGACTACAAATGTTGGTCATCACACATTCATAACATTGAAATATCCTACATTTATGGATTTTTTTAATAGACTCACTGGTTGACAATATGCCATCTGTTCTAGACAGACGGGTCGTCACATACACTTGTTGGTTAAACAAAAATGTGATAAATGGCCTGGTCGTCTTCTAGTAGTCACACATGTGGTCATATATAATACTTGTATACTTCAAAATATGTGACGACCTTGAGGTTTTACGATCCTTGTTTATTACACCACATATTGCCTGGTAATTCAGCCTGTTAATTTCCACTGGTCGTCACACATTAATTTCAAGCTCATATGTAAACCAGGATTTTCAAAATTTAAATTTGACTCGACCGTGAATGTGGCTTTAGTCGTCCGACATTAGATCCGCATAAACTGACGTTGGGAATCTCAACAAGTCGTCACACCGGTATTTGAAGCTCCATCGTCCGAACAGTAGCCGTCACATTTGAGAGCTTGACCTTAAAATGTGACGACTGTACGGTTCCTTCAACAGAAATTTAAAGGGTCGAATACATAAATAATATAAAAAAAAAATACAAATTTACAACTTTTTTTTACATTTTTTTAATAAGTATAAAAGTTGGATTCACTTGTATATAATATACAGATTGTATAATTTCGTCGCACACACAAATCGATTTTTTTTTTGAAATCCAAAAACGAGTCAAAATAATAAATATATAAATAATACTTTTTTTGCTGAATTACAACAAAAAAATTCAACAAATTATTCGAAAAAAAACTTTCTTAAAAAAATAAAAACTGATAAAAATGATTAAAAAAATTAATCGAAATGTTAAAAATATGTTTTTTAAATTGAATTAAATCTATTCTATGCTTTATTCCCATTAGGGGAATTTCGAATTATAAATTAATTAAGACTACATTTATTCTTAAAACAGCGATAAAAGAAAAAGAACAGGGGAGGAAAAACCGATTTCGCAAATATACGGCATAGCGTATAAAGCCATGAAATCTGGAAGGTACCAATAAGTTGTTAGATTGGGAAGGTTATCACCTATAAAGCTGTTAGTAGCGTGGAAAGGTTGTCACCTATAATATTGCTAATTAGTTACAATTAATTAAGGTTTTCAGTTGAGATAATTAATTTTAATATATTAATTGGTCAAGCGGACCATGAAACTAGAGAATTGAATTGCTAATTAGGTAAGGGGGCTGTAAAGTTGTTAGATTGGGAAGGTTATCACCTATAAATCTGTTAGCGAAGGAAGGTTATAACCTATAATATTGCTAATTACATAAGTTAGCGTGTACATAAGTTAGCGTGGGAAGGTTATAACCTATAATATTGCTAATTAGATAATAACCTATAAAGTTGTTAGATTAGGAAGATTATAATCTGTAAAGTTGTTAGCTTGGGAAGGTTACCTATAAAGCCAGTGCGGCCCTGAATTCGGTTTTCCCCCTCTAACTTCAAAACTTGGTTAATAAATACTTAAAAAATATATAATAATCTCGAATTAAAAAAGAAACCCTGTATTTTCAATAATACTGTGATGTAAATAGTTCGGCGGGGCGCGACCTCCTCAGATTGTCTAGTAACTTCACAAAAGGACGGTCAAAAGTTCACGTGAGTAAATATGGGATTGCTATGCTTTCTTTTCTTAATTTTTTTTAATTACAATTCAAAACAAACCTTATCGCCTAGTTGGTCAATAGTTTTTGGTTTCTTTTTTCCTTCAAAAAGGTTTTCATTTTTTTTTTGGGGGGGGGGACCTGTATAAAAATCACAGCGGTGGGTGGTACCACCAATTTTCTTTTCCGGAGCTGGCCTAGTAGATTCTATCAGGCGAGTGTCGTATCGAAAAATATTCGCAGGAGGGCTTTAAAGGATTTTTTACCCCCCTCTCTGCATTCAAGACCATAGAAAATATCGTCCGGAGAAATTACAAAAATCTACCCCAATTTTGTCTCTTTTTTTTTTCTTCTTTTATATTCGAACAAACAGCAGTCTTTGGAGCAGTCTCAACGCGACGAGGGTTGGGGATGGGGACTTAGAAAAGCCCAAATATCAAGTATCAAGTCCGATATCAAACTTTGTCTAAAGAACATCTTTAAATTTCGGTAATTATAAAAATTTCAATAGTTTTCCTGTGATCTGGAAACCCACCGAATATGCAGACCATGACAATGCAGCCGAAAGATAAAAGAGATAAGTTCTTGGATTAGGAACTGTTACTAGGTCACTTTAATCCTGATACCTGAAGTGTAAGAGTTCTTGGACACGATAAAGATTGAATTATTGTAATAGGTGACAGAAGTACAGTTTATCCTGGGTTTGTAAGAGCTCTTGAATCGGGAGAAAAATATTTTTTTTTAAAGTGACAAGAGGTCAACTTATGATATCTGAGGTGAAAGAGCTCTTGTATCAGGAGGAGAAAGATTAACTTTTTTAGAAGGAGAAAGGAAGTCATTTTATCCTGATATCTTTGATGTAAGAGCTCTTGTATCAGGAGGAGAAAGATTAACTTTTTTAGAAGGAGAAAGGAAGTCATTTTATCCTGATATCTTTGATGTAAGAGCTCTTGTATCAAAAGAAAGATCTGAGACTAAGAGCTCTTGAATCAGGAGAAAGATTAATATTTTTTAAAGAAGAACAGAAGGTAGATTAAATTAATTTTTTAAGTAGAAAACAGGTCACTTTATCCTGATAAGAAAGATTTTTTTTAAGAATGGGAAAGGAGGTCGCTTTATCTTGATATCTTAGATGTAAGAAGTCATGTATCAGGACAAAAAGTGATTTTTTTAAGGTAACAGGACTTGAGCTTTGTGTATTGGAGATTTGAGAGCTCATGATCGGTATAAAGATTGAATTTGTTTTTACCTCTTCCTAGTATCGAAGCGGTTCATAGTATTGCATTAGGAGCTAATGTGAGATCAGTTTAGCCGAGTATTGGAAAATAATTGGACATTGGCTTATGTTGTTGGATAGGAGCTCACTTTATCCTAGCATTGGAAAAATTGTACGTATTTATTTGGACCTATCAGGAGCTCCTTTTAGCCTTAGATGTTGGAGTAATAGAAGCTCTTGTATCAGGAGCAGGTCAAAACTTACTCTATCCTGGTTATTGATGGGACAGCTCTTTTACTAAAAACTGAAAGAATCTTAGTTCTTCCTTGAGCTATATTTGAGCTCCTGGTACTATTGAGGTATGATGTATTTTTTCCTGACGAGACTTCGAAGGATAGGAGCTCGTTTTAGCTTAGTATTACTGAGCTAGGAGCTGTTCCACCAGTAGGTGATAAGAGCTTGCTCTTTAGATAAGATAGATATACATAGAAAAGAGCTCTTCTGTTAGGAGCCAACAGGAACGCACTTTATCCTGATATTTATTTGTGTAGTATCTGAGAGATGGGAACTCAGGAGACGTCGGGAGCTCGCTCTATCCCGGTATTGGAGTAGAAATTAATAGGGGTTCATTTTACCCTGGCATTTCAAAGACCAGTCGGTCATGTATGACTAGCAGGAGATCGGTTATTTATTTGAGAGATTAGCATCATCATCTTTTGTAGCAGAATAAGACACGAGCTCACTTTATCCTAGTATTTTATCAAGAGCCAACAGAAGCTCGATTAAGCCTGATATTTCAGAAGTAGCAGCTGAAGTATCAGAAATTGACAGGACCTCTTGTATCAGAAGGATGACAGGAACTCACTTTATATAGGTATCGGGGGTATTTGGCATATTTTATCAGGAGCTAACGGTAGCTCGGTTTAGCCTAATATTTAAGATGTACGAGCTCTTGTATCAGGAGTCGACAGGAGCTCAATTTATATAAGTGTGGGAGGAATTTGGTGTATTTTTTTCAGGAGCTAACGGTAGCTCGGTTTAGCCTGATATTTGGGATGTAGGACCTCTTGTATCAGGTGCAGACAGGAGCTTTATCCTGGTATTGGAAGGACAAGAGCTATTACACCGAGCTCCTGTTACACCAAATTTTTACGTGTTTACTAATGCTATCGTTGGTATAAGTAAAAAAAAAACAGACTTGGGCTAAATCTAATCCTGTGTTAAGATTGTTCCTACGATGGGTAGTGTGTGGTTGGGCGTACTAGGTCACTTACAGAATAAATTTAAAAACTAGAACTATTTAAAGACACAAATAGTTTTTTCCTTTTTTTCCTTTAAGGCTTCTTTTTTATGTTAAATATATATATTATAAATATAATTTTTTTAAATCTCAAAGGGTTTATTGGAAAAATTGTTTTTAAGGGTTGAAAAAGGAAGCATAGCAAAGGGTCTAAGTACTTTTTCTTTAGGGGTAGTCAAAACTTTTCAAAATTTTATACTTGTGTCCTAACAAGACGATAATTTTTATAAATAATATACTCGATTAGTCTGTATCACTAGTATAAGAGAGTAATAAATATAATAAAATTGGTATACGTTCAGTATTTAAAATTAAAAAAAAAAAAAAAAAATAGTGAGAATTTTTCTACAAACAAGGAACATTTTTTCGCGTCAGGGTTATTTTTTTTTTTTTTTGCGGGGGTGTAAGAAGGAGATTCGTATCTTGGACCGTTTCACCTCCGGCGCGGCGACGCGCCGACCCGGGGTCAGTTCTCGTCGGGCACCGACTTCTCCAGGTAGTGGGTGAGCCTGGCCGGGAGGCAACCTGCGTTCAGCTGGTAGAACTCGATGAGCTGGAGGAGGTCGTAGAACTTGGTGACGCCGTTGTCCAGCGTGAAGCAGAGGGCGTCCCTCACGGGGTCGGTTATCTGCTTGGAAGACACAAAGAAAAGAAAAAACAATCATCACAAACAAACGAAATACTTTTTAAACTCAGACTCACGGGCAAGATTGGCATGTGTATCACCTTCCCGCTGCACTTGAACGTCAGGACGAAACAGCCTTGATTGCTTCGACTCTCCCTTACGAGAAAAACCCTTCACAAACAAAACAAAAGATTATAATCAGCCGTCAAAGACCTAGGAGCTTAGATTTTACAGATAACCACAAATTGAAAGCTCCTGGTATATGTGTACGCAAGGAGCTAAGCTTAAGAGCTGGACCTTAAAACAAAGGTGGTACGCACCTCTCTAATCAGGTGTCAAAAGGAAAAAAGCTCGTGTTATTAATCAGAAAATTAGGATGGCAGGACTTTCATTTCCCTTGTCATCCTGTTACATCCGGTTTGAAAAGGGAGCCAGAGATTGATAGAGAAAAACCTGTTGTACCCAGGAGCTGGAATCTGAGAGGAGCTCAGTTTGTCCATGATAACTTTATTTACATTAAGTATATAGTCCTGATGAATACTCTCTTGTGTATTCAAAGGTTGGAGCTATTTTATTCTAAGATAAAACGGGCTCAGTTTAGAATCCAAGAAAACAAGCTCAGTTTAGACAGATCTTGACGGGATAGGAGCTCTAGTATACAAGCAAGGTAGCAGCTTGTTTCAGGAACTAACAAGAACTGATTTTAGCCTCGTATTGGAGGGGTAAGAGCTGTTAAATCGGATTTTAAATTTAGCCTGACACTTGAGGTGGAGAAATGGGGTAACTCATCAGGAAGTCAATTTATCTTGCCAAAATACGATCCTGGTATTGCGCAAGGAGTTCATATCAATTTCTGTCATCCTGGAAGCTCCTGGTAGGGCAGGATTAAGAAGCTCTTATTGTTAATCTTGAGCCTAGCAGACCAGGATCTTACATCTGCTTGATATAAGCTCCTGTTATATCAGGCTAGAAAAGAGACAAAGACGATAGGAGCTTAAATTTCCCGTACACTGACATCCTAGTAGATCTACTTTAAAAATGGAACTTTTGCAATCAATCAGGAGTTAGGAGGCTAACAGCTTACATGTGCTTGAGGTAAACTCCTGTCAGGTCGGGGTAAACAGTAAAAGCCTTTTACTATTCAGAAAACAAGAACAGGAGTTCACCTTTCCTTGGTATTGGCAACGTTGGCAAGCTCCTGGTACGATTTGGATCTTAGGATGTATGTATGTCTCTTCTCCTTGATATTGATCATCCTGATAAACTGGCAGAACAAGATTAAAAATAGAACTATTGCAATTAATCAGAAGCCTAGGAGGCTTGGAACTTAAATTAACTTAAGTAACTCCTGTCGCGTCAGGTTAAAAATCAAGTGGTCGTGTTATTAATTAGAAGCCAAGGAGGCTAGGATTCACAGTTCCTTTACCGGCAATGATGGTAAGCTCCCGGTAGGAACAGGATGTTAGGTCTGCTCCTTGATACCGACCCTCCTGATAAGCCTCGGGAATATCAAGTCTCAAAATAGAAGACCTTTGGCAATTAATCAGAAGCGTAGGACGATGTTACGCCAGTTGAAAAGCAATGGCTCATTGGGTAGATAAACTTCTCATTCCTACAGTGATTAGGACATCCCTGGTCATTAAAATGAAGAGTACTTTTGACTTGCAACCCACCCGTCTTGATTGCCATGCGCTGATACCAATGCTGTCGCCTGCTCTCTCGTCATCGTCTTGTGGAACCATGGCTGACCCAGGTGCACCATGTCGTTTGTACTGCACGGCCTGCGGCTGTCGAAGTTAAGAAGTAAGAAATAAATCGGCGTGGTTGTTTTCTTTTTTGCTTGTATAAGGTTGATGTATGTAGATTACCTGGTGGCGTTTTTGGCCTGAGGCCTCCACCTCCTCCTCCACGCTATGCCTTCTGACACGGCGATCGCCTTCGCTTCGTTCGGGTCTTCGACGATCCTCCCGACGCTACCCGTGAAGTCCATCGCCACCCTCGACCTGACGCTCTCGTTCGGCACCGTGTAGCTGCTATACTGGCTCGCGTTGATCTGTTCCTGCTTCTCCTTGAAAGCCCTGTAGTTTTCCCGTAGCTGCTTTCCGTACTGCTCACCGTGAAGGTAAGTGGAAAAGAAACCATTTAAAAAAAGGTAAAATATTTGTCACAGATGTGTTTTTGTGTGTGAGACTGACTTTAGCGAGGCGCATCGCAGTGAGCCAGCAGGTCCTGTCTCTCTGGCACTCGCAGGAGAAGACGATCCCGGAGGAAAAGTCCTCCTCGGAGCTCTTACGAAGGCAGATGCCGAATTCGGTCGGGGCCCTCAGCTGGTTTTTGGCGTTCAGACATGTGTAAACCTCGTACTCCTTGAGGTCCGCTAAAAGCTGAAGTTCCTGGTGGCTCTTGTCATCCTCCAAATATATCTGAAAATGTTACAAAATTTCCTTCGGTTCCAATGTTTCAACAAAACAAACATCCATTCAAAACAAACGTCCTTTCCCGCCATTTTATAACAAAATCGGCTGATCGACGGATCTTTGTAGGTTAGGCCGTTTTCCCGCCAAATGACCACGAAAACAGCCGATCGACTGCCGTTTATATGTGGTCTTTCCCTACCAATCAAAACTTGAAAAATAACTGATCGTTTATACGTTAAGTCGTTTTACCACCAAATGACAAGGAAATCATGATCGACTGCCATTTATAGGTTAAATCTTCCCCCTTCAATCAAAACAGTTTGAAAAACGTTGATCGTTTATAGGTTAGGCCATTTCCCCTTTATTTTATAACGAAAACAGCTGAACGACTATTCATGGTAGGTTAGGTCTTTTTCCCTGCCAAATGACAATGAAAGCAGCTGATTAACTGTTCTTTGAAGGTTAGGTCGTTACTGAAGGATAGGTGGTTACACCGCTAAATGACAACGAAAACAGCTGAACGACTTTCGTTTATAAGTTGTCTTTTCATATCAATTAAAACGGCCTTGAAAAATAGCTGATCGTTTATAGGTTAAGCCGTTTTACAGCCAAATGACAACAAAAAAGCTGATCGACTGCCATTTATATGTTAAATCTTCCTTCACCAATGAAAACTGCCTTGAAAAACAGCTGATGATTTACATGTTAGGCCAAAATGGCCTTGAAAATTAACTGATTGTTTATAGGTTAAGCTGTTTAACCGCCAAATGACAGGGAAAAATGCTGATCGACTGTCATTTATAGGTATCAAAACAGCCGATCGTTTAAAGGTTAGGCCGTCTTCCCGCCAAATGACAACGAAATCAGATGACCGATTGTTCTTTAAAAGTTAGGTCGTTATCCCGCCAAATAACAACGAAAACAGCTGATCGACTGTCGTTTATAGATTAATCTTCTCCCACCATCCGATAACGGACTCTGTAATATTTGCAAATTTTGAACAAAAATTGGGTGAGGGTTCAATATTCAAAAAAGGAAAAAGAGAAAATCTTTCAATGGATAATGGGAGGGCGCAGTTCAGCTGTTGCCAGGTGGACGAACGCTGCCCCTGGAAACTCGGGCACACAAAAAGGAAAATTTAATCACGAAATTCCCAATAGAAGGCGTGGATTTATCAATTTTTCTTATTGACACGGTGAAAAAAAACATGCGATTAGGGGCCGACCAGTTATTCATATAGACACGGCGTGTATCAAACATGTCAGCGGCTACGGAAGCTGGTCGAAATTTGTTTAAAAAAATTTTCCCGTATACAACACTGACACTATGGCCAGCAGTGCGTCCGGAGAACACATCACGGGATGAGAAAATGATCTCTTGAATAGTAGGATGAATAACATTTTTTTAAACAAATAAATAAAAACCACAGTGACTTTTTTACGAGGGTATTTTAACTACGAGGTTATATGAACCCTCGGTGTGCCTATTTGAAAAAGGGCCACGCAGGGCCGTTGGATTCGAACCTGGAACCTTAACCTTACAATGTTGAGTGCCCTATCAGCGCCTAAACCGTTGCGGCCACCGACGTCCCAACTGTTATTTAAAAGTTCTGTTTAAAGTTTATAATTTTCATCCCCCACCCCACAACCGGCCTTGAAAAACAGCTGATCATTCATATGTTAAGCCGCTTTCCCGCTAAATGACAACCAAACCAGCTGATCGTTGATAGGTTATGTTGTTTCCCCGCCATTTTTTAACGACAAAAGATGACCGACTATTTATACGTTAAATGTTCCCCACTAATCAAAACAGCTGATCGTTTATAGGTTAAGACGGTTTTCCTGCCAAATGAATGAATGACAACAAAAACAGCTGATGGTTGATAAGTTATAACTCCCCGCCGTTTTCTAATAAAAACAGAAAACCGACTGCGTTTGTAAGTTTAAGTATTCCCCCACCCCTCAGAACGGCCTGAAAACACAGCTGATCGTTTATAGGTTAAGCCGTTGTCCCGCCAAATGACAACAAAAGCAGCTGATCGTTTATAGGTTATGCCGTTTTCCCACCAAATGACCACGATAACAGCTGTTCACCAGTCGTTTAAAAGTCCTCCTTCCAACTCATAATGGTATCACGAAACAGCTGATCATTACTTTATCAGATTGTTTTCCGGCCAAATGACACCGAAAACTGCTGACGGCCTGATGTTTGTAGTTTAATCTTCCCTCACCAACCTAAAAAGCCTTGAAAAACAGCTGATATTTTATAGATTAAGTTGTTTCCCCGCCAAATGACCACGAAAGCAGTTGATCAATTGTTATTATGGGCTAAGCCTTCTTACCAATTCACAATGGCCATGAAAAATATCTGATCAACTATCGTTTCCAGGTTCATTTTATCCAATGAGCGTGTTTTTTCCCCAGTTCGTTCAATTCTGTTTATATATATTTTTTTTTAATTTATTAATTTTTTTATATTGAAATTAGCTGGCATGTCAAAAAATATATACATTTAAAATAATTTATAAACAATGATTTAATGATTAAACTACTCTTTAATGTTTTTAATTGTTTAATTTAATGTTCAATTTTACCGAATATAAAATTTTGTCATAGTTTGTAGTAAAAAAGGCGTCATTTTTCATATTTTATTAATCTAATTATATGAGGGTAGTGTCAGAACGGGGTCGGCGAGTGGGCGAGGCGTAGCGGACCCCGTCCGCCCTTACCTCTAACTTCCAGGTCAAAATCCTCCGGCCGGCGTGCTCTCGGGCAGGGGTTCCGGGTCGGACTGGCGGATCAGCTGAGCCGGTGGGGGGCGGCCCATTCCGCTTTTCCACGAAGCCGGGGGGCGGGGGCAGGGCCGGATCGAAGTCCCGGGCACCGGACCGTTTCCCGCTTTTCCCAGGCCAGGGGGTGGGGTGCGAAGAGAAGGGTGGATCAATACAAGGGGGGGGGGAATTTCCGAAATCTGAGATGAAGAGGTGGACCGCCTCCCAGGAGACAGGATGATGTAACCATTATGATTCACCCCCACCTGCCTTCGGGAACGCCAAAAGCAAACAACTTGTCACTATCAGCCCGATAGCGTAACGGGATCCGAGACAAAGGAAATGTCTTAAAAATCATTATTTAAACAATAGATATAAAAAACCCAACGATAATGTTCTAACATTTAAGACGAGCTGTACTTGTTAACGGCTTAGGATCGACAAAAGTACAAAATTTGGTAGGTTACATTTTTACAGGTTATACATTTGGATGGTAATTTACTTAAGTAAGTAAGTCAAATATAAAGGTAGGTTCGATTGTTTTTGGGTTGAAAAGTTAGAAGCTTAAAATCGACAAAGGTATGGCTATCAAACGTGGTAGGTTACATTTGTCAAGGTTATAAATTTGCAAGGTAAATTTACTTAAGTAAGTCACATATAAAAGTAGGTATACTGTTTTAGCGTGAAATAGCGGCTTAAAATCAAGTAACAACAAAAGTAAGGTTATGAAATGTCGTGCGCTACATTTTTCCAGGTTATAATATTTGTAGGTAACTTGCTAAGTAAAGTCATGCAAAATAGATGGTGTGATCATTTTTACGTCGAAAAGTTAGCGGTTTATGATCAACGAAGGTAAGGTTTCAACAATTTGGAAGGTTACACTTTACCAGGTTATAAACTTTCAAATGTAATTTACTTAAGTAAGTCAAAAATATAAGTAAGTGTGAAAATTTTCAGATAGGAAAGCTAGCGACTGATAATGAACAAAGGTAAGGTTACAACAATTTGGTAGATTACATTTTCCAGGTTAGAAAATTGTTAAGTAATTTCCATAAGGTAGTCAAATATATAAGTTGGTATGAATATTTTCAGATTGAAAAGTACAGGGCTTAAGTTCAACAAAGGAAAGGTAACAAAAATTTGGTTGGTTATATTGTTCAGTTTATAAATTTGGTAAGACAAATATATAAGTAGGGGTGAATATGTTCAGGGAGAAAAGCTAGCGGCTATGATAAACAAAGGTAAGGGTACAAAAAAATGGTAGGTTATATTTTTCCAGGTTATACAATTGTTAAGTAATTTGCTTAAGGGAAGTCAAATATAAAAGTTAGTTGACTATTTTTAGGTTGAGACGTTAGTGGTTTACTATCAACAAAGGTAAGGTTTCATAAATTTGGTAGGTTATTTTTTCCAGGTTATAAAATTGGTAGGTAATTGGCTTAAGTAAATCAAATAAAAAAGTTGGTTTCACTATCTGTAAGGTAAATTTAAGTATGCCGAATATAAAAGTAGATTTGTCTATGTTTAGGTTGGAAAGTTATCGGCTTAAGATTAACAAAGGTAAGGTCTCAAAAATGCGGTAGGTTACGTTTTTCCAGGTTAAAAAGATGTAAGGCAAATTTACTTAAGTAAGTCAAATATGGTGAGAATATTTTCAGATTGAAAAGTGCAGGGCTTAAGATCAACGAAAGAAAAGTAACAAAAATTTTGTAGGTTACATTTTTCCAAGTTATAAATTTGGTATATAATTTACTTAAGTAAGTCAAATATATAGGTACGTGTGAATATGTTCAAGTAGAAAAACTAGCGGCTTATGACCAACAAAGGTAAGATTACACAAAATTGGTAGGTTCTATTTTTCCAGGTTATAAAATTGGTAAGTAATTTCCTTACGGTAAGTCAAATGTAAAAGTTAGTTTCACTATTTGTATTTAATTAGTTATCTGTTTATTATTAATTGTTATTTCCAATTTTTATGCTCATTATCGACAAAGTCAAGTTTACAAAAATGGGGTAGGTATCATTTTTCCATGTTATAAATTTGTAAGGTAAATTTACTTAAGTAAGTCAAATATACCGGTGGGTGTTAATATTTTCAGATTGAAAAGTGCAGGGCTGAAGATCAACAGAGGTAAGGCAACAAAAATTGGTGGTTACGTTTTCAGGTTATTAATTTGGAAAGTCATTTAAAGTAGAAAAGCTAGCGGCTTATGAAAGACAATAGAAATGTTGGTTAACTATTTTTAGGTTGTACGAAGGTAAGGTTACAACAATTTGGTAGGTTACATTGTGTAGGTTATAAACTTTGTAATGTAATTTACTTAAGTAAGTCAAAAATATAAGTAGGTGTGAGTATTTTCAGGTAGAAAAGCTAGCGGCTGATGATGAACAAAGGTAAGGTCTCAAAAATGTGGTAGGTTACGTTTTTCCAGGTTAAAAAGGTGTAAGGTAAATTTACTTAAGTAAATCAAATATATAAGTTGGTGTGAATATTTTCAGATTGAAAAGTACAGGACTTAAGATCAACAAAGGTAAGGTAACAAAAATTTGGTAGGTACATTTTTCAGGTTATTGGAAAGTAATTTAAAGAAAGTTAAATACATAGTGAGTGTGAATATGTTCAAGTAGAAAAGCTAGCGGCTTATGATCGACAATAGAAATGATGGTTAACTATTTTTAGGTTGTACGAAAGTAAGGTTATAATTATTTGTAGGTTATATTCAGATTGGAAACTTGGAAGTAATCTACTTAGATAAATGTAAAAAAAAAACGAGTTTTACTACTAGGTTATGAAGTGGGTGGGTGGGTTACGTAGATTTGTACGTTATGCGCAGGTTGACAACCTGGTTATAAGATTACGAAAATAAATGGTAATGTACTCGAGTAAAGTACCTACCTAAGTAACCCCCTTCTTTTTGGTTTGTAACCTTGCAGTTTTAACCTACCAATATATGTAACATTATGCTGGTTGTTCGCAGGTTACCAACTTGTTAAAAAAGAAAAAACTAGTCGAACCAACCTAAGTAACCTCCGTTCCCAGTTTGAAACCTTATAATTTATGGAAATACTTTTTCATACTTGGCAGGAGCGACAAACCGGAAGGAGCACGACACTCGATCGATAAGGACACCCCCTCCCAGACTCGCGTGACTGGTGCCCGATTATCGACGGTGCCGTGAAAGTTCGACAACATTTCGCGTCGGATCAACCGGTGGGGTTAAGGCAGGTCGGGTGAGACGATGGATCGATAAACGCCCGGGAAGCTATTCCGCCGCCATTTTTTCCCGACAGCAAGATTCAGAGGTTGTGTACAAACTCACCCTGTTCGGGTCCTGTTCGTCCAGGCTCCTGTAGCAGTTGTCACGGCTTTTCCAGTGCCTTAGGAACTTGGCGACGACGTGCACCTTGGAAGACATGAACAGCTTGTTGTCTTTGAGGAGGAGGAAAGTCTTGACCCAGTTGTTCTTGTTCGCCTGGCTCTGAATGCAGACCTGGCTGAATATGGACGGACACTGTTCCGAGTTGGTAAGGAGGTGTTCGAGGGCGGCTGTCAAGTCCTCGGACGTGCTCGTGCTCACCGCCTCGTCGCAGTTGCGCAGGTCGACCATGTCGGCCGGAAAGAAAGACTTGAAACAAAATAGTCTTGGGTGATGTTTTAAAGACGGCTTGTCGTGTCTTGTCTTACCTCGGGCTCCGTGAAAAAGTCATATTTGTTCTGTATCCTCCTGAATATATATTTTTTCGCTCCTGGCTCCGTCTGCCTGTGTACAGCGAGTACGTCCTCGTGATCTTCGAGCACCCTCTCTGCCGTAAGGACCAAAGTAGAAAAACACGTGACTTCCCTTGTATTGACGGACTTACCTATGCCTGTCTCGACCCAGTGCTCGACGATGGACCAGGAGAAATCCTTAGTGACGCGGTTCTTGACAGCAAGGAGCAGGCAGAGGTCGATGGCCCTTAAGTCCTTCTCGACTATTATACCCGTATAGCTGCCGTCGTCGTTGAAAAACTGGAGCTCTTCCTAAACGGGCCGAGGGGAAATTAAAAAAACAAACATATAAACATTTAGGCGACGTTTACCTGCTTTTCTGTCGATGAGTCTTTGTTCTCGGCAAGATTCTCTAGAAGGAAGTAGCTATTCGTACCTCCGCTTCCCTCGAAACACCTCAGCTTCATTCCCATACCGAAACAACAGCCTGTCAACAGAGGTTTATTGATTGGTAGGTTACATCATTCGAGGTTACTAACGTAAGCAGGTAAGGTAAGGTAATTAAAAAATACAACTGTGCTTAAGAATTCGAATGAAAGAAAATCGTTGTTAAATGGAATGTAAGGTTATATAAATTGATAGATTACATCCATCAAGGATACAAACTTGGGAGGTTATGAAAACAACGGGAAGGTCATAGGGATGGGTAGGACACATCCGCCCATGTTTCATTAGGTCATAAAAACAAAGTTTAGACAATAAGAATTTGTAGGATGCATTCTTACAGGTTTTATGGTAGGTTACGAGTAGAAAAACGATATTATAGTGATGGCTAGGTTATAAATTGTCGGTTATGAAAACAATGGTAAGGGAATAGGAATTTGTAGGTTACAACCTTCCACGCTAGAAACTTGGTTGGCTATGAAAACAACAGCAAAGTTATAGCAATGAGTAGATTATATCCTTACAGGTTATAAACTCTTTAGTTTATGAAAACAAGGGTAAGGGAATATGAAGTAGAAGGTTACATTCGTCCAGATTATAAACTTTTTATGTTCTGAAAACAAAAGCAATGTTATAACGATCCGTAGGTTACATCCTTCCACGGTCCAAACTTTCCAAATTATGAAAACTAGTAGAAGTTACGGTGAATGGTAGGTTACATCCTTCCAAATTACGAACTTGGTACGTTTTGAAAACAACAGCAAGGCTATAGTGATGGGTAGGTTATATCCTAACAGATTAATAAACTTGCTAGGTTATGAAAACTAAGGCAATTACATCTCCCCAGATTACAAACGTGAATGGTGGCAAGTTACGTAAGTTTAGGTAAGCAGGTAAGATAAGTAAAAAAACAGCTAGATTTAAGAAGTCCAATGAAATGAAAAAAAATTATGAAATGAAAAGTAAGGTTATATAAGTTGATAGATTGCATCCTTCATGGATACAAACAGGTAGGTTATGAAAACAACGGAATGGTTATAGAGGTGGGTAGATTACATCCTCCATGTTATAAATTTGGTACCTGGGTCATGAAAACAAAGTAAATGTTATATTTATTAGAATGTAGAATTAGAACCCTTCTAGGTTATAAACTAGGTTGGATATGAAAACAAAAGCAATGTTATAATGATCGGTATGCTACAGCCTTCCACTTCACACACTCCTAGTAAACTAAGGCAAATTATAGTGGATGATAGGTTACATCCTTCCAAATTCCAGAAACTTGGTAGGATCTGAAAACAGCAGCAAGGTTATAGTGATGGGTAGGTTATATCCTTACAGGTTATAAACTAGACATGTTATGAAAATAAAGGTAAGGGAATATTGATTTGTAGGTTATATTCTTTAGTTTAGGTAGGTTATAAAGACAAAGCCTATATTGATTTGAATTTTGATTTGATTTTAATTTCATTGCTTTTTTTCTTAATAAACACTATGTCCCAAGAGGCGTCGATCCTTTAAAGGAAATCCACCATCCATTAATGGATGAAAGTGAACTGGCTGTTCTCGAATAAAAAATGAAACAATTGTATATCAACAATGAATAAAAACAGTCGTGATCCATTTACAAGTGCGTCAACCTTTGACATCCATTAATGGATAAGACCTTGGAGAGAGCGGGAGTCGAAAAGACCCGATGAGTCAACCCCTCCTCATCCTTTCCAGGTCTATCCATTAATGGACGCGACCATTGTGTTTTCCCAACATTTCCCACGGTCCAAATCCTTTATCGGAAAGAAGTCCGAGATTTGACAAGGATCAACACGGTTATCTCTTATCACCGGGGGGCACGATAAGGCCGATAAAGTTATTCCGTCTTTGCCCGTACCTAAATTCAGTTCAAATCATACATCATTAGCAAGGGGAAATCGAACCGTTGGACTTTGTCAGGGGAGGGACTTACAGAACTTCCTAAGGATCCGCGTCAGCTGGGCCATCTGCGGACTGCGGCTCACGGCGTGTCCTCGGCTCTTCTCACGGCGCAGATCAGAAGAAGAGAAGATTAGAAGAAGATGGTTAAAAAAACCACAAGGCACGGCGTAAAAATTAGAAACTTTGACGCAATCCCTTCCTACTCTCCTCCTCTTCTTCATTCTTCTTCTATCTGATAAGATACAATGTGTCGCCCCTACTTCTATTAATAATGACTCGATTCAAATCGTTATCTCGTATAAAAAATAAAAAAAACAACGAGAAGTGTAAACAAACAAGACAGGATTTTTTTTCTTGAGTTGATAATCCAAACAAGGGCGCACTCCTTCCACAGACTATACCACAAAACAAACAAAAACAATAAACAACAGACAAAAAGCAGTCTTCGTGGAAAGAACAAGAATACGTTGTCACAATATGTCAATCTATTGTAGGAGCAAGACTTTATTTTCCAGTCACAAATGTCATTCTGGGTTCGGATTCGAGAAAATTTTTTCTTTGTAGGTCGGCTGTTGCAACATATCATTTTGGATCGAGCGAGTTTTTTTGTTTTTTTACTATGTAGGCGTGCTGTCAAAATATGTCATTCTAGGTTCAAGACTGTTTTTAGTTTTGTTGTACAATTCGAGGATGTAGATTTTTCTTACTTTGTAGGTTTGCTGTCACAATATATCATCCTACGTTCGATATTTTTTACTTTGTAGATTCGCTGACACAATATATCAACCTAGGTTCGAAATTTTATACTTTGTAGGTTCGCTGTCACAATATATCATCCTAGGACCGAGAGAGTTATGTTTCTTTGTAGGTTTGCTCTAACAATGTTTTCTGGGTTCGGGATAGTCTTTCTGGGATCTAGAAGATTTTTTTAGATTTAGAAGATTTTTTTATTTTAGAGGTCCGCTGTACATTCCTTTTTAGGTTCCTGTCACAATATATCATACTAGGATCGAATGACTTTTTTTTTTTACCATATACGCCTGCTATCAAAATATGTCATTTTAGGTTCGAGACTGCTTTTAGTCTTGCTGTCATAATTTGAAAATCGAGATTATTTTACTTTGTAGGCTTGCTGTCACAATATATCATCCTAGGTTCGAGATTTTTTCCTTTGTAGGTTCGCTGTCACAATGTATCATCCTATGTTCGAAATATTTTCCTTTGTAGGTTCGCTGTCACAATATATCATCCTATGTTCGAGATTTTTTACTTCGTACGTTTACTGTCATAACATACCATCTCCTAGGTTCGAGATTTTTTCCTTTGTACGTTCGTTTGCAAATTATATCATCCTATGTTCGAAATTTTTTACTTTGTAGGTTCGCTATCACAATTTATCAATCATCCTATGTTCGAAATTTTTTACTTTCTAAGTTTACTGTCACAACATATCATCCTAGGTTCGAGATTTTTTTCCTTTGTAGGTTCGCTGTCACAATATATCTTCCTATGTTCGAGATTTTCCCTTTGTAGGTTCGCTGTCACAATATATCATCCTATGATCGAATTTTTTTTTTTTACTTTGTAGGTTTGCTGTCACAATATATCATCCTAGGTTCGAGATTTTTTCCTTTTTAAGTTCGCTGTCACAATATATCATCCTAGGTTCGAGATTTTTTCCTTTGTAGGTTCGCTGTCACCACATATCATCCTACGTTCGATATCTTTTCCTTTGTCGGTTTGCTGTCACAATATATCATCCTAGGTTCGAGATTTTTTCCTTTGTAGGTTCGCTGTCACCATATATGATCCTACGTTCGATATTTTTTCCTTTGTAGGTTCGCTGTCACAATATATCAGCCTAGGTTCGAAATTGTATACTTTATAGGTTCGCTGTCACAATATATCACCCTAGGACCGAGAGAGTTATGTTTCTTTGTAGGTTTGCTCTATCAATGTTTTCTGGGTTCGGGATAATTTTTACTTTGCAGATACACAATGAACAAAATATCATTCTATAGTCGAGATGATTGAATGTTTACTCTGTAAGCTCGCTGTTACAATATTTCGTTCAGATTTTTTCACGTGGCAGGACGTCGGAACATTTTCAAATCTTCAAACGTATATTTCTCCTGTACGTTTAATTTCCCGTCCGCCCACGTAACAGCCGGCCCAGCTGCGTTGGTTAGGCCAAGGACAGTATAATAGCGTGATTTAAATTAGAGAGCGAGAGAGAGGGTGAGTGAGAAAGAGAGAGAGGAAAACAACGAACATCACGCGATCATATGCATGCAACCGCCCAGTCCCTGTATGCAGTTGAGGGTCAAATAATTTCCAAATCGCTGGAGGTTTGTTGCTTTATAAATGAGAGGGTGAGAGAGATGAGTCCGTTTTATTGAAAGAGGGATTTGGGACTACAGGGAATCTTACAAAAATTATCATTCATGTGATTTGTAGACAAAAAAGTGGTGTAATTTTAACAATAATTTCGTTCAAAGCCGTCCAATTAAGATTTGTGGACAGTATAGACTAATCTGCAATCAGTAAAAGTGCCAATAAATGGACCGATATTGCGTCTTTCAAATTAAATTTTACAAAACCCCACTTCAAAAGTGATTTGTGCTCAAAAAGATGAAAGAAAATAGTGTAATTTTTAAAGTAGTTTTGTCCAAAATAGCCCCATGAAGATTTGTGGCCAGTATAAACTAATCTGTGACCAGTAAAAATTCTGAAAAAATGGACCGAAATTGCGTCTTTCAAATAAAACTTACAAAACACAATTTCAAAAGTGATTCGTCATAAAAAAAAATCAAACAAAATAGTAAAGTTTTAAAAGTAGTTTTGCCCAAAATAGTCCAATCAAAATTTGTGGACAGTATAGACTAATCTGCAACCAGTAAAAAAATGCTGATAAATGGACAATCAAAATTTGTGGACAGTATAGACTAATCTGCAACCAGTAAAAAAATGCTGATAAATGGACCGATATTGCGTCTTTCAAAGTTACAAAACCATTTTATACGTAATTTGTGGTCAAAAAGTTGAAAGAAAATAGTGTAATTTTTAAAGTGGTTTTGTCCAAAATAGCCCAATAAAGATTTCTGAGCTGTACAGACTAATCTGTAACCAGCAAAAATTATGAAAAAAAATGGCCCGAAATTGCCCCTTTTAAATTAAACTTTACAAAACCATTTTACACGTAATTTGTGGTCATAAAGTTGAAATAAAATAGCCTAGTTTTTAAATGGTTTTGTACAAAATAATCCAATAAAGATTTGTGGATTGTTCAGACTAATCTGTGACGAGCAAAAATTATGAAAATATGGACTGAAATTGCTCTTTTTAAATTAAACTTTACAAAACCATTTTACACGTAATTTGTGGTCAAAAACTTTACAAAACCATTTTACACGTAATTTGTGGTCAAAAAGTTAAAACAAAATAGTGTAGTTTTTAAAGAGATTTTGTCCAAAATAGCCCAATAAAGATTTGTGGACAGTATAAGCTAATCTGTGACCAGTAAGAATTATGAAAAAATGGACCGATATTGCTTTTTTTACATTAAACTTTACAAAAACATTTTACACGTAATTTGTGGTCAAAAAGTTGAAACAAAATAGTGTAGTTTTTAAAGTGGTTTTGTCCAAAATAGCCCAATAAAGATTTGTGGACAGTATAGGCTAATCTGTGACCAGTACAAAATTATGAAAAAATGTACCGGTATTGCGTCTTTCAAATTAAACTTTACAAAACCCCACTTCAAAAGTGATTTGTGGTCAACAAGTTGAAACAAAATAGTATAATTTTTAAAGTAGTTTTGTCCAAAATGGTCCAATAAAGATTTGTGGACTGTACAGACTAATCTGTGACCAGTAAAAATTATGAAAACATGGACCGAAATTGCACTTTTTAAATTAAACTTTACAAAACCATTTTACACGTAATTTGTGGCCAAAAAGTTGTAGTTAAAGTGGTCTTGTCCAAAATAGTCTGATATAGATTTGTGGATTGTACAGACTAATCTGTGACCAGTAAAAATCCTGATAAATAGACTGAAATTGCGTCTCTCAAATTCAACTTTACAAAACCAGATTTTATAAATGACTTGTGTTCGAAAATTTCAAACGGCGTAATTTTTACAATAATTTCGTCCATGATAGTCCAATAGAGATTTGTGGACACTATAGCGTAACATGTATCCAGTAATCCAAATTGGACCGTAATTGCGTCTTTCGAATTAAGCCTTATAAAATCATTTTACACATGATTTGTGGACAAAAATTCAAACTAAGTAGTTTTTATAGACGTTTTGTCCAAAAGGGTCATGCTCATGTCGTCCGGAAGAAGTGGTTGAAACGTCGGCCAATTCCCCTTGACCACGGCCAAAACGACGTCCTTTCTTTGGATTTTTTCTTACAGCGACCACAAAAGGTGTCAATACAAATTGAAAAACCAAACAAAAATAGTATCTCACCTTTTGACAACAAACGTCGATCCTAAAGCTCTTCTCGTCGTGTGACAGGGGCGGCGCGCCCTCAGAATACTACGCTTACTACACTCCCCACCCCTGCCGGTGGTTGGCCCGACCGAGGGGGGCGGCGATGACGTCACGGATCGAAGCGGACCCAAACAACCCCGATCGACCGGGATGTGGGTCACAAAATATCCGCCAAAACAAACTTTACCGCCGTCGAGATGATCTAAGGACGTCAGTGGCGCAAAAGTTGAAGGTAGGGCATATGGGTTTTTGGCCGAGATACATCAAGTCAAAGGGTTCATGATGTCATGAGTTATTGTCAAGTCGTGGTTATTGCCACCCGTCATGGCTTGAGGAACCTGCCGCGTCAGTCCGTCTATGGCCGACTTTTGGACTGATTCGTCATTCGGCACCCCGCTGAGTTGGCGGAAACGAGCCGCCGCCACCGCCTCTGGCCTACTAACAGTTATGCAACCGAAACAAGGAGTCTTGTAGAAAAAAATGCGAGATTAGGCCGCTGGCCAAACTGATTTATAAAAAGAATAAAAGGGAAAAACCAACGAAAATCGCGTCTAGAACCCGGCCGGTTCTCGCCTCATCCAAAATTGGCCACGACGACGTGACCGTCCACTTTTTCAAACCTGTGAACAATCCGGTCGAAGGACCTCATTTGCCAAAGCGGCCGAACGAGAGGGAAAGTCTCTCACAATTATCACAAATGTTCGCTGATTTTCATTATCACAAATAATTTGGGAGAACGATATTCGAGCTCGCAATAGGAGTCAAAC